GTGCAGCAGATTTCTTGGCAGCAGATTTCTTGGCTGCAGGTTTCTTGGCAGCAGATTTCTTGACCGTAGATTTTTTGGCTGCAGGTTTTTTGGAAGTTGGTCTAGTTGAACTAAGCTTTGATCCTGGCTTTTTGTGTCTTCTTTGTCTATCTGGATGATCGAAACAATATCCGAATGGCGTTTGGCATCCAACACCACAATGCTTGACCGTGATAGCACACTAATCAAATATATTGCATACAACTGTTAGTCTATACACTGGCATTGATAGTGAACGAGGTACGGTCAAGTGATGGCAGAGATTCATTTGATCGCAATGAGTTCAAGACAACTCTGCACATATGTCCAGTAATGGATACTAGAGTGAATTGCTAGCACATAAAGCCATTATACTTACAAATCCTCTAGCAGAACAGCATTTACGACCTGGGCAAACACCTCGACCTGGACCACATCGAGAGGCAGCAGCCACTGGAGCTACAAACGTAGCAACCAGAGTCATAGCAGCGACCGACAAGTAATGCATTTTAAGCTATATCCGTGTGGTTGTACGAAATAGTAGTCTATAATGTCGACTTGAACTAATGGATCGACCAAAACAGCGAATGTCAAAAGTATAGTATTAAGTTTCCGATGTGATGATATTGCACTCTAGCACTACTTATATACTGTCGACTCCTTGTACCAGTGAGAAACCTGTTTACCAGCCCTGATAGACATCATCTTGACATACCCCTCCCTTGTTACTTGTTCCTCACTAGTGTATCAAATCACAAGCGACGTGTCCCACAATGCAAGATGTGTCCAGTTTATCAATACACAAGCGCATTGTCAGTCTACCACTAATACTACACTGCACTATTACAGGATTAAAAATAGTCTTGCTTTTAGTTTGTCTTGGCAAAAGCCGCTAGACAGCCCTTTGAAATATCACACTGATTCTTTAACTATGTGGAATGGCCACAGCGGTTAAATTTATTTTGACCATTAATATCTAAAGTAGGCTTGAGAATAAGATTTCTAGACGGTTTAATTACTAGTCTATTTGAAAATATATCTAATACCTCGAATACAAAACATACTTTCAAAATAATGGTAAACACGGTTATTGGTTTATTAATAGCGCAGTTACACTAGTAATACTCATGTAGCATAGACATGGCCTTTTGAACCACTTTTTCTAATTCATCATCACGTTTTTTGGCTTCTTTAGCGGTGGCAGACTTGAATACAACCTTAGCATTGTGTGTCAATATCATGGCCGATGCTGAAATATAATCCCCGCGATCCGTTAGCTTGTTGAGCTGATCTATAAATTGATTCATTTTATCCTTGTCTTCTCTTATAGACTTGATAAGTTCTGGGGTATCTCCCACTTGTAGGTAATACTCATCTGCAAATTGCGTCAAGTGACGAATGTGATGTTGATCTTTTCGATCCCATGGCGGAACATACGAACCGGGTTCTAGAGGTTTTACAGTAATATCGGTAGCACCAACAACAGGAACAAAAAGGGATGGAACGACAACAGACATTTCGGATTGGGTCTGAGCTGTTGGTGGAGATCGTTTTCTCAAATGCGTTCGAGTTGACACTTTTTTTGCTATAACAGAGTTGGAATACGTGTAACAGAATCTTCCGTTGGCTGTAACATCAAGTACTTCTCTCACCTCATAATCGTATCCCATACCCCACATTGGTACGTGATCCGTATCCCGAGCAGTTACATATATAGATCCTGATCTAGAAGTTGTACGATAACCTTCATAACCACTTCCGGTATGCAAATGCTTTTTTTGCCAAAGCCAGAAAACCTTATCTATCATAGTGTGATGTAAAAAGAAAGCAGGATCCGTTGTACTTCTAGGTATAATTGCCATATGACCTCCAACGCTAAAGTGAACGTGCTTATGCATGGATTTTTCTAATTCGTAAGTGAAGATTGAATATTCTTTTTCAGTAATTATTTTGAAAATGGCTGCTGGAGAACAAAGAGCTGGAAATTCGTTTTGTTTTAAAAATCTCCGTTTGATGCATGTGTTAGGATTGCTATCAGCAAACGGACCATTAGTAACGCATTGAGTTACTGCATTACCATTTCCGCCCATAAAATTGGGACTCCATACTTCTGATCGTTCAGGTGCCTGGGAATCAAGTGACCAGTCCCAGTATGGCAGAGGGTCCTCGTAACCGCATCTATCACGCATGAGATCCTCAAAAGTTTGAATAAACACACGATGCCATGGTAGAAACATGGCTGTCGTATGAGCCACAGCTGAGGCAGTACGATGTAGATTGACAAGATCGTAGTATAGTGAAGGATGTTGCATTTCTTTGTTCATACTGGAGGGTGTTGTTTGAAGACAGCGAACTGCTTTAACATAGTTGTCTCGTTGTCGCTGAGTAAGTTCTCGGAACTCCCTTCGAACAGACAGATTGATGCATGGACGATGATGAAGATTGATTCTGTTACTTTGATGATTGACCGACTTTGGCGTGGGTCTAGATGGTCCTGGTATGCACTCGCCGTATTGAGGTTGACATCCCGCTTCGCACATGTCTGTTTCTAATCCACATACATTTTGTGATGAGCAGCACCCAGCATTGGCACACTTGGGGAGTCCTGGACCACATCGAGCTCCAACATGACGACGCGTCTGTCCGGGACTGACACTGGGTTTGACCACTAATGGGGTAGCAGGTTTCTTTACAGCTGGTTTTTTGGCAGCAGATTTCTTGGCAGAAGGTTTCTTGATAGCAGTTTTTTTGGTAGCAGTTTTCTTGATAGCAGTTTTCTTGGTAGCAGTTTTCTTGGTAGCAGTTTTCTTGGCTGCAGGTTTCTTGGCTGCAGATTTCTTGGTCGTAGATTTCTTGGCCGTAGATTTCTTGACCGTAGATTTTTTGGCTGCAGGTTTTTTGGAAGTTGGTCTAGTTGAACTAAGCTTTGATCCTGGCTTTTTGTGTCTTCTTTGTCTATCTGGATGATCGAAACAATATCCGAATGGCGTTTGGCATCCAACACCACAATGCTTGGCCGTGATAGCACACTAATCAAATATATTGCATACAACTGTTAGTCTATACACTGGCATTGATAGTGAACGAGGTACGGTCAAGTGATGGCAGAGATTCATTTGATCGCAATGAGTTCAAGACAACTCTGCACATATGTCCAGTAATGGATGCTAGAGTGAATTGCTAGCACATAAAGCCATTATACTTACAAATCCTCTAGCAGAACAGCATTTACGACCTGGGCAAACACCTCGACCTGGACCACATCGAGAGGCAGCAGCCACTGGAGCTACAAACGTAGCAACCAGAGTCATAGCAGCAACCGACAAGTAATGCATTTTTCTAAATTTTCAGTAATACCAATTAGATCACAACAGTTAATGTCAAATGGTTTGACAGCTTGTTGGAATTGGCTAGCTAATGAGATTGTACTAGTATCTTTGGTTATTTATACACACCTTTTTTAGTAAAATAACTAGGGCATCTTGCTTACCTGCATATCAGGGGTAGTTATACTCACTGTCTGATACACTCCTTCCAAAGCACACCTATTAAGGGAGGTTGGTGTTAATCGTTTAGGGTGTTCAGTGTATTTTACTCGCGTCGAATGTATTCACAATCCACAGCAGTTACAAGAACCCCGCCATACAGGGCTGTTTGACATGCAAGGGCGACTTCAACTCTAAATAGCATACACAGACTGAAGCCAATAGCCCACTCAAGTCTTACAGTGGACAAATAGTATATCGTCCCTATTCAGTATCATCTA